GACGCCCCGCTGTTACACACACACTGTCAGCACATTCCTCCAGCTGGCTGCTGCACGCACACACACACACACACACACACACACACACACACACACACACACACACACACACACACACACACACACACGACCACAAGCACACATGAGGCTGCTAAGAGAATGAGCATGTGCATATTTAATGTATATCACAAAGAAAATATGTCTCCCTGTGTGTTTTACGAGTGTGTGAAGGTCGCTGCAGATTATTTATCAGTGGGAAAGATGCATGATGGAGCCCTGCAGGGCAGAGGTGTGTGTAGCTCTGTTTGTGTAATCCCTGTGCCTCCATTTAATGGGATTTGGTGTGTGTGTGTGTGTGTGTGTGTGTGTGTGTGTGTGTGTGTGTGTGTGTGTGTGTGTGTGTGTGTGTGTGTGTGTGTGTGTGTGTGTGTGTGTGTGTGTTAAATGTTATTAGTTTGTATTTGCGGTCTTGTGGATGTTGCATGTGGTTTTATGTAGATATTTAACGTGGGAATGTGTATTCTTTATTATATATAAAACTATAGTGTGTTCTCCCTTGGCTGGCTAACAACACACACACACACACATTAACAATACACATCTGGGACTGAAGGTTAGCATAATGTTGGAGTAAAAAAACATCAGTTGGTGAAAGATAGACGCTCATACCACTGTGTGTGTGTGAGTGCATGTGTGTGTGTAAAGCAATAGGAGAACTAAACGGAGGAAACAGAGAAGGCAAAAAGAGTGTCGTATTCCAGCTGTGTTTGCTGTATATTTCTGCATGGGAGTGAGAGTGTGTGTTATTATATTCCATGCCTGTCCAACAGAGCTCTGAAACATGTCGTATCATATATCACGTCCTACAGTAACATTAAACCTTACACCAATGTGAAACTGGGCAGCGGGTCCGACATCAAACCCCGAAGAGTTACGGCAGTGTGTGTGTGTGCAGAGACAGTTTGATGTGCGCTACACGGAGATATATGGAAGTACAGGACGCAGCCACCTCAAACATCTCATGTTTTACATGTGGGAGGAAGCCAGAAGCAAATGACGTATTTGCTGACCAAACGCTTATGTCTTGTGAAAAATATGAGCGGTGGCGTCATGTGCATAACTCACAGCAAGACATCGTGCAGCTACCTGACCCAAAACTACACAATATCCCAAATATGTGAGGAGAATATCTTACTGCAGACTGGAAAAATATCATGTATTATGCAAAGGAAGAGCATGAAAGGGCTGTGTTCCTTCCAGTGCGTTGTCAAGTAATCCCATACGCATGCAACAATTCTCATAAGCATCTGTAGACATGGAGGCTTTACTGTAAAGAAGAATATCTAATGTGTTCGGGGTGAGAGCTGGAGCTACCTTTGATCAGAAAACAACCCCTACGCAGATTGAAACTTAAGAAAAAGTAAGTGGTGTGGAAAGTGTTGGTAGGACTCAATATACAAACAAACTGCTGGGCGACAATAAATAAATGATATACTTAAAAAACAATCAATATTGGTGAGACCAACTAACTGACTTTATGATTCAAACTGAAGGGGGAAAATGTGTTTATGTAACTAATAAACCATTATGTGATACAAATGTATTATTTCACAGGTAATTATAACCTGCCCCTAAAGGCACCAAAACACCCAAATTAGAATAACATCAAAGGGGCAAAACGTGCCTTGAAACGCTGACTTGCGTAGATACATAAGTATCAAAACGGCCTTTTCTATTTCATCGAGCCACGTAAAATGTGCCTTTTGCTCCATGAAACCAAGAGGTGTCAATACATCTGAAAATACACAACTTCTATGTAATTGTAGGATTACAGATGCTATGGAAGATATGCCTATTTATTGCTCATGTTTTTACTAGTGGTTTTTAGGTATTTTTAGATGTGATGAAACAGGGGGTGCTATTTGGAGTTGTGTCTGTTGTCTGTGTTGACCTGGTATGTGTGTAATGGTGAATCCTTGTCTTTTATCTGCAAACCAAATCAACCTACAGTATGGGTACAAATAAATAACCTGAACCTGGACCATAGTGTAAAGTTGTAGAAACAAAGAAAGTGAAAGGTCAAATGAACAATTTGCAAGCCATAAATACTTGCTCATGGTGGAATATATGACGATGAGCAGAGTCAATATTTGGTCTGTGGACAATAGGTATTATGTTTTTTATGGAAAAAAAGAGTCACATCACAGTTCAGAGTTAGGACAAAGGGGTGTCTGATGATGATGGTAACCACTATGGAAGTATACATGAGCATAGTAGAGAAGTAAATATAGCTAGATTTAAACATCCCACTGGAGTCTGTTAAATGTAGTCATGCATGTGTGTCAGTGTGTGTGTTTGTATGTTGCTATTGCATTTGTGTTTATATGTACATGATGCCTGTTCATCATTGGGCCTGTATTTTTGGAAATGGGCAATAAATCAATCATAGCCTGCTTGCACACGTGCACACTCACACATGCCAGTGCACGTACCAAAACAAGGCCGCGCATTCTAAAGCGCTGATGCTTGTAGTAACTGCACGGGTTGTTACCACGGTGATAAAATGGCCAATAACTTGCTCACCTGGCCTGTGAATGGACATGCCGCTTGGACACACACACACACTCTGTCTCTCCCTCAAAAACAAAGAAGTGCTACATACGGTAGAAAAACGCAGAGTTGCAGGAAAACTAAATCACAGCCCATGCCTTCATTTTCCCATAATGCCACAGTAAAAGATAGTCCCACAGCGCGTATAAACAGGCAGGACATGCTAACACTGACATTTCTTGTTGGCTTCAATTTCTGCCCGAAACAGAGTTCCACTAAATTAGGCCTCGTTGTAAGGTCTCAGTGAGGATGTAAAACGGCAGAAAATACAGGGAGTCATCGGACTGCTGGACTCCTCTTGGCTGCACTTAAAATTCAAACCCATCCATTAAAATCACATTCGACTGCAGCTGAGTTACAGCATATGCATGAGTGTGTGCGGGTGTCTGTGGATGAAATCAATCATATGAAGGGCTGGACAGCGGTACATGGTTATTCCATTAACACACTTCTTACTTCTATGGCTTTAAAGTGCTGAGCGAAAGAGGGGGGAGATAAAAGTAGAAAGGAGAGGGAGAGGTAAGGACAGGAAGAGGAAAGCGGGAGTTGACGAGGTGTCAGGTGATGATCAAGTCAGGGTGACCAGTGCCCACCTTCCTGGAACACTGAGGCAACATGGGAAACTACTGGAGATATCATAAGGGCTGCTAAACTCAGGGGAAGTGTTAAAGGGTGAGTCTTGATCTTAAAGGGGCCCTATTCTGCTCTTTTTCAGGTTCATATTTATATTTAGTGTCTCCCCTGGGACATGTCTCCATGCTTTAATGTTCAAAAAGCTCTTTATTTTTCTCATACTGCCTGTGCTGCAGCACCTCTTTTCACCCTCTGTCTGAAACCAGAGCCCAGTCTGCTCTGATTGGTTAACTGGGTTAGGTTGTGATTGATCAACCTGCTTACGATACGTCCACACGGCAGCGTGTGTTGAAGCTTGCCGGTGGGCGTGTCTGGCGTGCGACCAACAACCAATCACATTAATCTCCCGCCCCGGACACACAAGCACGCGGTTAGATTGGCTAGCGCTTGTACTGGCATATGATTTGATTGGCTGGCGCTTCTGTCGACGCTTGAAAAGTTGAACTTTTCTCAACTTTCGAAGCGAGCAACGGAGGCAAAGCGACACGACGGAACCACAATGCAGTTCGGCAAAGCGCGACATCACCCCATTCAAAGTGAATGGGAAGTGTCTTCGTTGAATCATGCAACGCTGCCATGTGGACGGGCCGTTAGAGATGTCCCGCCTTTGTGGGGGAAACTTCTGAGGCAATTGGAGTCAGGACTCAAAGAGAGACACGATGGAGAGCTGGAGCTTTTATGGCAAACACTGACGGTTTATTTGGAGCTTCGGCCGTAGAATTCACGAAACATGTCACGGGCCACGAGTTGACCACACGGTTGAGATGCCACAATCAATTCTGAAGAACCCTTCCTCTCG